GGTCTCTGTTCAGATGTCACCTCCTGGGAGAAACCACCCTGCTCCTGACTAGCCCAATCAGCTGGTCCATGTATCTGTTTACCATTTACTCCTCACCTCCCACATCAGACACTTACAAAGAGGAGTGTCCCCAGCACCTGCCCAAGGGCCAGTTCAGCTATTTCCCAGGCCACCCAAAGAGACCACTTTACAGATGGGGAAACTGAGGACCCAGACAGGGCACCTTTGGCTTCCTGGACCTGACAGGACTCAGGAAGTGTCTGCATTGTGAAAGTTGTTTGTGCCCAATGAAGGTGGACAGGCCCAAGGTAGAAATACCTGCTAAATCAGGTTTGAGTTTGGGGAGAATAGGCCCCTGTGTCTCCCCGAATTCTGTTCCCTGCAGGTTTTGAAATGAGGCCTTTTGACACCTGTTCTCTTGGGCTAAACTCTATTTTCTCTGGCACCAGCCCCCTCCCCCAGGAACAGGCAAGAGAGGAACCTATTTCCCAAAGCAGGAACCAAGGAGGGGAAGGCTCAGAGCAGAGAGGTGACTCAGGCTGGGGTGGGGCCAGCTGGGGCCCCCAGCAGTGACCGCACCCCCGGGGACACACAGGGGTGAAGGAACACCGGGGTACATCAGTGGGGACCCACTGGCAGGTTAATACCCACTTTGCATGGGTAAGGTCCCTTAAAAGAAGGTAAATAACCACATCTGTAGAGACCCACATGGCTTCTGGGTAAAGGCCCAGGGGGAAATAACAAGGAGGTAATAATAAGTGTAATAATGAAACAAATTAAATAATAAGATGTTTCAGACAATAGTTAAAGAATGGATGCTCCCTGGGGCCTCTGGGTTGCTCAGTTGGTTAAGCGTTTGACTTTGGCTTGGGTCATAATCTCGGGGTCCTGGGATTGAGCCCCACACGCCCCCTGCTCAGAGGGGAGTCTGCTTCTCCCTCTGCCACTCCCCCCCTGCTCATTCTCTCTCTGTCAAATAAATAAAATCTTAAAAAAAAAAAGAAAAAAAAACGGATGCTTCCTTCTGCTGAGTACGTGGTCGTTGACCTCCCCCCACCCCATCCCAGCCATTCTGAGAAGAGGTCACTATTATATCTCATTTTACAGATGGGGAAACTGAGGCATATACTGCCCAGGCGGCTGGGCCAGCACACAGAGGAGGCAGTGGTCTCCTTGCCCCCAACAAACCAGGACCACAGGGTGGATGGCATGGGTTTCTGCGGGAACACCCTGATTAAACAGGAATCTGCCCCAGACCCTCTGGGGTCTGGACCCAGTGGCTCCACCCTCTTCAGCTCCTGCTGACCCAGGATTTTAAGCACCCCACACATTTAATCTGTCAAGTACTCAGGAACAAAGAGCCCTGTCTACTCAGGAGGTGGGGGGCTGATAATCCCCCCAGGGAAGCGCAGGACTGGCTGTGGGGTACCTACCCAGCTTGGGGACAAGAAGAGCCGCTTGTGGGTAAATACCCAGAGCAACACCCAAGCGGTTTCCAGGGACACCGCGCGCAGCGGCACCACCTCACCCGAGCCGGTGACAAGGCGCATGAGACCCCCCAGAGCGAGTCAATACCCGGGCACGGGGTTGGGGGGCACCTCTGGGCCCCGCAGGCATGTAAACGCATAAATGGGGTGTGCCCCCTCTGCCCAAATACTCGGGCGTGTCGGGGATGGGATTTCCCCGGGGGGCAACGAAGCCCCCTACCCCCACCCCCACCGCGGTCTGGGGTCTCCTCAAGGAAAAGGGGCGGGGCGGCCTGGGGCTGCAGCCAGACAGGAGGGGAGAGTGGAGGGGAGGGGGTGCTGGAGTCCCAGGAGGCATGGCCCGCCCGCCCCGCCGCGCTCACAGCGTCCGCCGCCCGCCTGGGGCGCTTCCCACCGCCGCCGCCGCCTCCTCCGAGCCGCCCTCCGGGTTCTCCAGCGCAACCATGGCTCGGTCTGTGTTGTCGCCGCCGCCCGGCAGGGCCTTCTCGGGGCCGAGCAGGAAGTGACGGGCGCCCAGAGGCGGGCCGGGGCGGAGCCTGGAGGCCGGACGCACCGGGTGGGGGCCGAGGCCACGCAGCCAGCCAGATCCCGGGCTGCGGGCGGCGATCCCCCAGCCCAGGGGACAAACGGGACAACCGAGGCGGAGAACGGGGACCGCGGCCAAGCCCCCAGGCTGCGGGTGTGGGATGGGGGGCACCCAGCCCGGAGGAACAGACGGAGAAACTGAGGGGGGAGGTAGCGTGATCCTTGCGCCTGAAGCCGGGCTGCGGGGGGGCGGGGCACCCAGCCTCCAGTAGATGGCCGGGGAAACTGAGGCCTGGGTAACCAGGAAAGAGGGGGACATCCGTTTCAGGAGCGGGGGACAGATGAAATGACCCAAGCCCCAGACCACCCAACCCCCAACACCAAGTTGGCTTTTCCTTCCACCAGCCCCTCCCAGCCCTCTGTTCCAGTGCAGCCTGGGGAGCATGGGCTGGGTGCCTCAGTTTACTCATCTCTAAAAGTAGGACAACATCCCACCCCCTTCCACCTTTAAGGATTTGTTCATTTCACACACGCCCCCTGTGGGCAGGGCCCAGTGACGGGCTCTGGGGATGCAGCAGGGACCAAGAGAGACCCCTTCCCCACTGAGTGGGTAGGGAAGAGGAGTTCTCTGAGAGAGGGACTGGTAAGCTGCAAAGTGGGAAGGGCGTGTCAGGTAGAGAGAACAGCCAGTGCAAAGGCCCTGTGGCATCCAGAGTGACCAGAGCAGTGTGATGAGTGAGCACAAGGGGGATGGAGGTAGACGGCAGAGGTTGGATCTGTGAGCCTGGCGGTCCTGTGATGGGAGGCCTGGTTTTTGTTCAGAGGCAATGGGGAGCTATGAGAGGGTTTAGAGAAGAGAATTAAACCTACTGTGGAATCTAGAATCCACCCTTCCGTCTACAACAAGAGTGGGGATCCAGGTCCATGAGGAAGAGTGGGGATCCAGGACCATGTCAAGTGACACCACGGGGATACAACCCACCACATGCAGCCTGTTAGAAATTGTGCAGGTCAGGGGCGCCTGGGTGGCTCAGATGGTTAAGCGTCTGCCTTCGGCTCAGGTCATGATCCTGGAGTCCCTGGATCGAGTCCCGCATCGGGCTCCCTGCTCAGCGGGGAGCCTGCTTCTCCCTCTGACCCTCCCCACTCTCATGCTCTCTCTCTCTATCTCATTCTCTCTCTCAAATAAATAAATAAAATCTTTAAAAAAAAAAAAAAAAGAAAGAAAAAGAAATTGTGCAGGTCAAATGACCCGATTGCTTTAACAAATAAAGAGCAACAGGTAAGGAAGGAGTTATGATAAGGAGGAGGAGCTGCTAAAAGACCCCAAAAAGCACATGCTGTGTGACATCACATAGATAAATGTGAAAAGAGGCAAAAGAACTCAGTGGTGATACAAATCCCAGGAGAGGGCACCTCTGGGCAGAGTGATGGGCAGGGGGCCCTGGGGGCCGGGAGCCTTTGGTTCCCTGGTCTGGCCCGTGATGACTAACTGCTCCATAACTGTGCTAATTCTAGAGGATGCAGTGTGGGCCTCACCCTGATTCTGGAGTCTCCTTCCCAGGAAACCTGTGTGGTACCTTCCTAACACCCTCCTAGACACCCGGACTGCCCAGGAGCTGCCGTGGCCACTGCTGCCCACGGTCCCCACCTCAAAGGTCCTCTCCCAGGCCCTTAGACTCAACAACATCCCCCCAAAGAGATCCTCCATCCTAGCAACCTTGGGTCTCCTCATCCTAAGTTGTTCCTCATTCCCTTTCTTTTTTTTTTTTTTTTTTAAAGATTTTATTTATTTGACAGAGAGACACAGTGAGAGAGGGAACACAAGCAGGGGGAGTGGGAGGGAGAGAAGCAGGCCTCCCGCCGAGCAGGGAGCCAGATGCGGGGCTCGATCCCGGACCCCGGGACCATGACCTGAGCTGAAGGCAGACGCTTAACGACTGAGCCACCCAGGCGCCCCTCTCATTCCCTTTCTGATTTTCTAGACCATTTTGAAGGTGGAAAGAGGGTGAACGGGGAACGCCCCCTCTCCAAGGCTCTGCACTCCCACTGGAGACGACTGGTGTGCCTCAATGCCAGGCATGTTTCCCGGTTTCTCCCCTCCCCCACCTCTTAGTCGTGTTGTCGTCAACAGTGGCATCTTTTTGTCTCTGCATGGTACTCCGTGATAGCAGGAACATCCTGGCACACTGAGGCATGCCTCGTGGGTAGTATCTGGGGTCCATTTCTGGATGGGGGGCCAACAGTGTCCTTGCAGACTGCCCTCCACCTGGCTCCTACCACCAGGGGCACAGGTGCCCATGTTCCCAGTGGGAGTATCTGCTATCCGCTGCCAGTTAGGTGGGGGGCGGACTCTTCCATTTACAGCAAGGGAGTCCTAGTGAGGTTAAGACCAGGCGTCTTCTAACCGCTAGATCCTGGGCAGCCCTGCCCTGCTCTGAGCCGTCCATGGCTCTCCAATGCCCCACCTTGCATCTGGAGCCCCAGCCACTTGACAGGTCAAAGGCATGGCCACTAACAAGGTGCCTACTCTTGCGTCTGTGTTTTGGTCGGGGCTGTTTGCCCATCCTCTCTCTGAGTCTCTACCTCCTGTTAGGATCGTCCTTCTGGGGCCCACGGAAGTCTCCACGCAGCTTACCCCTCTCCCCTGGCCCCCCAAACCCCTCCTCCAGCCTGTGCGCTCGCTCGCCGGACTGTGCGAGGAGAGGAAAGGGGGAGAAGTTTGCTGTGCGTGTGAATGGGAGGCGCGCAGGAAGGAGAGGGAGTGACCAGCGGCTGCAGGAGAGGCTGGAAGGCGGGGACAGGGCGGGCAGCAGGGTATAAATTCGAGGGGCTGCGTCGGGAGCAGAGAAGCTGCCCAGCCCAGCGGAGTCGCCCTCCAGACCCGGTGGCCTCCAGCCGAGACCCTTCCCCGGGCTCCGCCCGCGTGTCCCCAGCGGGCGGCCAGGAGGAGGGTCCCCGCGGCGATCCCGGGGCGCAGTCCGGCGGGCGGCCAGGAAGAAGAGGGCGGAGAAGCCATGAGCGCCCTGGCCACGTCGGCGCCCAACGCGTCCTGGGGGGCGCTGGCCAACGCCTCGGACGGCCCGGACCCCGAGCCGTGGCCCGTGGACGCCTGGCTCGTGCCGCTGTTCTTCGCCGCGCTGATGCTGCTCGGCCTGGCAGGGAACTCTCTTGTCATTTTCGTCATCTGCCGCCACAAGCAGATGCGGACGGTGACCAACTTTTACATAGGTGAGCTGCACGGTGCCTGCCTGCCGCTCCGGGGGTCCCCGCGAGAGGAGAGGGGCCGGGGCGCCCCGCAGCGGCGCGTCGTGGCTCCTCCACACAGGTCCTGTCCCTGCTGTCCCTGCTATCTTGGGCTAGAGCTCCAGAGCTCTGCGGGCGAGGGTTCCATGCGGGCTAGTTCAAAGGGAGCTTGGACAAGGGCCCACGGAGAGCTCGGCCCTGCCACTTGAGGACGGTGTCCGATTAAAATGTGGCTCTTATAACACCGTGTCCAATGAACAGAAGTACGGGGAGGGGCTGCGGGACCCCAGTCTGCGACCTTTGCCCCATGACTCGGTTCACACATTTGTGTATTGGGCCGGCCTACCTCGCACAGGGGGGTGCTCAGTTTTCTCTGTTCGATGTGCCGGGCGGGCTAGCACGCCGACTCCAGTTTGCAGACGGGGAGACGGAAGCTCAGCGAGGCAGGGGCCTGCTCAGGCTCTTCCAGCCCAGACGGGGGTGAGCAGCGCGGACTGACGCTTGAATGGCTAATGAAGCCCGTGCTGGGGGGAAGTTTGCAATGTAAAAGTGGGAGACGGGGGGGTGCCCCAAATTCTCTGCCCAAGGTGTCGGGGGCCTTCCCACCAGCGGTCCTGCTGGTTACTCGGAGAAATGTAAAGACCAGGGGGCTGGGCCAGGGGCGTTGGGCGGTTGAAGCCCCCGTGCGTTCCCCGCCTGCAGCCAACTTGGCGGCCACGGACGTGACCTTCCTGTTGTGCTGCGTGCCCTTCACGGCCTTGCTCTACCCGCTGCCCGCCTGGGTGCTGGGCGACTTCATGTGCAAGTTCGTCAACTACATGCAGCAGGTGCGCGGGCTTGGGGGGGGCGGTGGGGGGAGGGGAGGGCCAAGGGGCGGAGTCTGGGTGTGGGCGGGCTGGACCGCGGGTGGGGCGGGGCCAAGGAAGAGGTGGAGCCTGGACCGGGCCGGGTGGGGAGGACCCCGCAGTTGCGAGAGATAAGGATAGGGATGCGGGATACGGAGGTGGGCATAGAGAGGGCGATCTGAGCCCTGGGGCTTCTTGCCCCGCCCGTCCCGCGATCCTAGGATGCCTCTGCCTCTCCCTGTCTCAGTCCCGGGTCTCAGCGGACCGCAAATGGCCCCCTCAAACCTCCACTATCCTGGCATCCTCTCTGGTGTCCCACTCTCCTGCCCCTTCAACCCGTGGCCCCTGGAGACCCTCCCAGGACACGTCCCGTTTGTGCCTGCGTGTTTGGACATCTGGGGGGAGCCGCAGGGTGGGCGCAGACAGGGCAGGCCCCGGGCCGAACACCGGGAGAAACGCCCAGCTCTCGGCCCTCGCAGGTCTCGGTTCAGGCCACGTGCGCCACTCTGACCGCCATGAGCGTGGACCGCTGGTACGTGACCGTGTTCCCACTGCGCGCCCTGCGCCGCCGCACGCCCCGCCTGGCTCTGGCCGTCAGCCTCGGCATCTGGGTGGGTGAGTGCAGCGCGAGGGCCGCGCGAGATGGGAGGACAAGTCTTTGCGCCCTGGGCACCCCACCCCCACCCCCGGCTGCCCCCGCGGGCCTCGGTCGTGCGTGCATCTGGGAAGTGGGCTCGATATCGCTCCCCGTGGAGAGCCACCCAAGGCGCTCACCCTGAGGGCTCCCCGCGCCTGGGAGGCGCTCGGTGACGCTGCCCGAGGAGGCACCGGGGGCACCAGGGTCCTGGCCTCCTGGCGTCCCTCGTCCCTCGGCAAGGTCTTCAAGCTGCCCTGTGGTCCAGGCTCTGCGGCCGTGTCGGCGCCAGTGCTCCCTCTGCACCGCCTGTCGCCGGGGCCCCGCACCTACTGCAGTGAGGTCTTCCCAAGCCGCGCCCTCGAGCGCGCCTTCGCTCTCTACAACCTGCTGGCGCTCTACCTGCTGCCGCTGGCCGCCACCTGCGCCTGCTACGGGGCCATGCTGCGCCACCTGGGCCGCACGGCCGTGCGCTCCGCGGCCGACAGCGCCCTGCAGGTGAGCTGCTGGGCGGGCGGGAGGCCGGTCTGGAGGACTCTGAGGGGGTGGCCAGGTGGGAGAAGGCGCAGGGGTCAAGAGGGGGAGCTCTGGGCGCCTGGGTGGCTCAGTTGGTTAAGCGACTGCCTTCGGCTCAGGTCATGATCCTGGAGTCCCGGGATCGAGTCCCGCATCGGGCT